TTTTTTTCTCGCCCATTGACTAAGGTCCAAAGACAACCCGTCTGTCACTGATTTTAAAGGAACGGAAATGATTGTCATTTCGGAGACTTAAGCGACATATTCAGTCTGTGACAGCTTACAAAAAACGTGCTTCAATCATGAAGACTGAACGGAGACAGTCTGGGATTCAAGAAATCGAAGCCTAATTCAGGAACTACTCAAAAAACGAACACTGACGAATTAATAGTTAGTGAATTTTAACTTACATATAACATATGGATAACTACAACCATTATTGAAAAGGTTTTATTAAAATAAATAAAAAATGTAATCAATAAAATAAAATATATAAAATGGCTCAAGGTCATAATGAATTGAATAGCTTACAAAAAACGTGCTTCAATCATGAAGACTGAACGGAGACAGTCTGGGATTCAAGAAATCGAAGCCTAATTCAGGAACTACTCAAAAAACGAAACACTGACGAATTAATAGTTAGTGAATTTTAACTTACAATATAACATATGGATAACTACAACCATTATTGAAAAGGTTTTATTGAAAAAAAAATGTAATCAATAAAATAAAATATATAAGATGGCTCAAGGTCATAATGAATTAAATAGCATGAATTTGAGAGTGGCTCTAATTTTGTTAGTAAGTGGCTCGTCAGGGGAAGATTGGGAAGGTACCTCCACTGCAAGTGTGGTCTGATATGATCCCTTGAGCCAACCGAACCATCGCCACTCGTGGCCCGTTCTTCGGAAGCAGAGTGGGGTCTTTTCCGCATCTTCACAGCTATCTATGAACGGACCGAACACCGATGGCTCCATTTCATTTTCACTGGCCTGTGCCGCATCTTCACAGCTATTTATGAACGGACCGAACACCGATGGCTCCATTTCATTTTCACTGGCCTGTGGTATCTGGAAATCCGATTAACTAGCACTACAACCCCGAATGGACGTCAAACGAATGAAGAGATCCAAGGACCGATCAAACTGTATTATTTACCCCACCGAGGGCAGAGCACGTCGAGTTTAAGATTTTCAGAGCATGACTTTTTGACACCTACAAAATCGCCCCCATACCGGATTTATTTACCAGGATAGGATCGCGTGATACCTACTGGGAGCCACTTATGGATTATTCGCACCCATCGTCCAAAAAAAATCCTTCATCCCTGCATAAACGTTATTGATCAGTAAACTGCCAAAATTGACAAAACAAGAAATCCAAGACCATGAAGGAGGACGGGAATTGAATCAATTCGAGCGTGGGACAACCATTTGCAATCGCCGGGACAACCACAGACCACGGTCCCTATAGGTTCAGGCGGGTCAGATTTTTCCTGGTAAGGTCCTCCTCCTCATAGGTTAAACATAAATGATTCGAGCACAATTCAAATCTCAAATAATAAATAGTCGGAGAAGGAGTCAACTCTTCAAATTTATCCAACAAAAAAAAGGAATTTCCCCTTCTCTGAAGTAATTCGAGAAGGAGCATCATGAGAGAAACCGTCCCTACCCTTTCAATCGAGAATCGTTGAACAGAAAGAAGCGATCGTTTTCTGAACGGCATTATGGAAGGCAATTTTCACGCTTCAATAGGCATAAATTGACAGCTTCTCGACGGAATAGGCTGCATCGCCTTGAAGTGACCACGCCCATATCTTGAATTCCTTTTTCTCCATTGGAGAACGTGCTTCTTTCCCTCAGGCCTCATCCAGTCTACCGGATACTGCTGTGAACTCCCGCTCAACAAACTTCTCAAGGACGACCAGGAAAAATACAAAACAGCTATACAGCTGGTTACAGACGAAAATCCCGCTCAAATCGGAGAACCGAGGAGCTCAGGCCATCAATTTGTCGT